GCGGAGGCGCAGCAGCGGGTGGGTTAGTATAGTGAGCAGGTAGATGAATGGAGGCAGCTGGTGAGGAGCCAATTGGAGGCGGGCTCCGTTCGCCCTCTGTGCAGGCTCCCTGCAAGGCCCCCACCCCAGATGCCCAGTCCACCGGGGGGGGGTGCAACATTTGCCCTGAGCCGGGCACCAGCAACCCATGGTATGCCCCTTCTGGTGAATGATGCTCAGTAGTAGTGGTGGGCCTTTGTGACAGTCAGCCCCAAGAGACGTGTGGAAGTTGTTGGGGTGCAGCAGATGTGCGGGGCCTTTGCCCCCCACTCCCAATATTGCTGAACTACAACTCCCATCATCCCTGGTCATTGGCCATGCTTGCTGTGGCTGATGGAAGTTGGGGGTTCAGCAACATCAGTACCTTTCCTTCTATAAACATTTCTGCTGTTATGGTTTTGGATTTAGAAGCCAAAAGTGGGATCTGCAACAAAATGTTTCGCGGTGAAGTGATTCTGTCCCATCCGTCTGATACCCAGTTTTATGTGTGCCCTACCACCACCACAATAGGTTTCCTCCAGGTGTCCCTTTTATTGTGCATTTGTCTCCTGATGGGATCAGGGCAGTTATACACAACCCTGCTTTCAACACTGTTTAGACTCAGAAACTTTCAGCGCAGACAAACTGCTGTGTTTCTAGTTGACGCATGCCCCGTAGCATCCCGCTGAAATCCTGTAACTTTCTGTTCTTCAAATCTTCCAGGTTGATTTATTTTTGTCTTGCTTTCATTGTGCTATAGTGCAGGGGTGCCGCTCCAGAGAGCAACATTGGAGAAGCATAGCAGAACAACTAATAGAGCAGAATGATCTGTGGATGTTGTTGTTGTTTAGTCGTTTAGTCGTGTCCGACTCTTCATGACCCCCTGGACCAGAGCACGCCAGGCACTCCTGTCTTCCACTGCCTCCCGCAGTTTGGTCAAACTCATGCTGGTAGCTTCGAGAACACTGTCCCACCATCTCATCCTCTGTCGTCCCCTTCTCCTTGTGCCCTCCATCTTTCCCAACATCAGGGTCTTTCCCAGGGAGTCTTCTCTTCTCATGAGGTGGCCAAAGTCTTGGAGCCTCAGCTTCAGGATCTGTCCTTCCAGTCAGCACTCAGGGCTGATTTCCTTCAGAATGGATGCGTTTGATCTTCTTGCAGTCCATGGGACTCTCAAGAGTCTCCTCCAGCACCAGAATTCAAAAGCATCAATTCTTCGGCGATCAGCCTTCTTTATGGTCCAGCTCTCACTTCCATACATCACTAGATCTGTGGATAGCCTAGTCTAAATCTATCTACTGGTAATACACTATTAAGGGGCAGATGGGGCTCATCAACCTGGCATGGCAGCCCATCTAGGAGAAGGAAAACTCTGATCCCAAATCTCTGCTGCCTTGCGGGACATCTTTGGGAGAAGAAAAGGCTAAGGGTAAACCCTACATAAATCCAGAATGGGGTCCCTAAGGCGGTTGGATGGTGCCTTGTGTGCCTCCTTCCAGCAACTCCTGCAGGCAAGCTGGTGCCAAACCTATTGCGCTGCTTTCCTTTGGACCACATCAGCGAGGCCAAGAGGGGGGTGTCATCTGGACAAGATTAAAGAAAGATAATAAATACTTCGGGTTCTCTGCCTTGCAGCTAACTATAGTATTCACTCATTAAGATCCAACCTGAGAAACTATTCAGAATGTATAAAGGTGTTTCAAAGGGAGCTGGGCATGTTTAGCCTGGAGAAGAGGAGGTTAAGGGGTGATATGATAGCCATGTTCAAATATATAAAAGGATGTCATATAGAGGAAGGGAGAAAGGTTGTTTTCTGCTGCTCCAGAGAAGCGGACACGGAGCAATGGATCCAAACTACAAGAAAGAAGATTCCACCTAAACATTAGGAAGAACTTCCTGACAGTAAGAGCTGTTCGACAGTGGAATTTGCTGCCAAGGAGTGTGGTGGAGTCTCCTTCTTTGGAGGTCTTTAAGCAGAGGCTTGACAACCATATGTCAGGAGTGCTCTGATGGTGTTTCCTGCTTGGCAGGGGGTTGGACTCGATGGCCCTTGTGGACTCTTCCAACTCTATGATTCTATGATTCTAAATGTTTGCTGGAAATGCCAAGAACACGAAGGGAAACAGTGGTACCTCGGGTTAAGTATTTAATTCGTTCCGGAGGTCCATTCTTAACCTGAAACTCTTCTTAAACTGAAGCACCACTTTAGCTAATGGGACCTCCCGCTGCCGCCGTGTGATTTCTGTTCTCATCCTGAAGCAAAGTTCTTAACCTGAGGGACTATTTCTGGGTTAGCGGAGTCTGTAACCTGAAGCGTATGTAACCTGAAGCGTATGTAACCCTAGGTACCACTGTATTTTATAATGCTTGGCAGACATGTGAAAAGGCTAAAAAATATTGGATACACGTACATACATTGATACAGCAAATTTTAAAAGTTAATATTCAATTGAAGCCAGAACTCTTTCTTTCAGGGTTAATGGATACACAACTGGAAAAGGATGATGGGAGATTACTCCAATTTATGATGGCAGCGGTGAGATTGCTATATGCACAAAGTTGGAAAGATACAGCCTAGAGGAATGGCTAATGGCTAAGTTAACTTGTTTAATTAGAGAACGACCATTACTAACATTTATTAATTTATTAATGAACTTGTAATTTATTATTAATTTATTAATGAACTTGTAATTTATTAATGAACTTGTAATATCTGAATTTGAAGATTGGAAAAAAAATACTGGTTTACAGAGGCAATGAATTATATATTTTTTAAAAAATGTAACTGTAGGGACCCAGTAATTTTTGGCACTATATAACTATCAGTGTTGATACAAAAAAAATTCCTTCCAGTAGCACCTTAAAGACCAACTAAGTTAGTTCTTGGTATGAGCTTTCGTGTGCATGCACACTTCTTCAGATACACACTGAAGAAGTGTGCATGCACACGAAAGCTCATACCAAGAACTAACTTAGTTGGTCTTTAAGGTGCTACTGGAAGGATTTTTTTTTGTTTTGACTATGGCAGACCAACACGGCTACCCATCTGTATCAGTGTTGATGCCATTGCTGGTGGGGATGATGATGAAACAGTTTAGGATTTCCTCCATCTGCCTGCAATGGCATCATCTCCCACCTCCTGCCACCCTCCAAAAAAATGCAAAGATGAATCATTTGTAAAGCCAAGTCATGACTGCAGAATCATGACAAAATGCAAACACACATATCTTAATTATGCAAACACTTGATTTGAATAATAATATATTCTGCTTTCCAGTCACAGAATTAGATTTTGATTCTCCCCCCCCCTTTCATATTTGAGGGTTTAGCTGGCACACACAAGCTGCAGTTTATTCTGTTTCCCCGATGTTTCCTTAACTGCAGTTAATTTCTGCATTATATTTGAGCTTTCATACAACATAGAAGCCACATCTGGTAAAACGAACAATATGTAGTGCATGTTTAGTGTCCATCTTATGTGATTGCAGAAAAAAAGTCAATTTGCAGCATCCTTAGCCCAGTAAATTTCAGGATTAAAGTGATGAAATTTGGGGCAGTATTCCAGCACATAGTTCTTTCCTGCTGTTTTCACAGAGGAACAGAAGAATGCAAGTGCAGAAAGAGTGGGAGGGTAGCAAAGTTGCCCAGTAATGTTCCTTGTTGTTCCACTGGTGTGAATGAAATTTAGCGCAAGATGCTGGTCCTATATCGGTCAAGAAGCCACCGTTTCATAATGCCACCAGGTGTTGCAGGAACATCAGAAAACAGGACATAAGCTCTAGCATTATGATCTACCGTATTTTTCGCTCTATAACACGCAGTTTTTTCCTCCTGGAAAGTAAGGGGAAATGTCTGTGCGTGTTATGGAGCGAATGCCTACAGATGGCAGGGGAATCCGCTGCAGTTGTGAGCAGTCCGTGGCTCTCTTTGAAGCTGCAAAGCGGGTGTAAGCGGCTCCTGTCAGCGAGCCGAGCTGGGCAGGAGGGAGAGAAGCAGAGTGGGGTTGGTTGCTTTAAAACAACCCCGTGCTCTATGTCCCTCTCTCTTCTCCACTGAGCTGCTAAGTAGCAGCAAAGCTTTTCAGCCAGCCTAGCCGGGAGGAGGGAGAGAAGCAGATCGGGGCTGGTTGCTTTAAAACAACCCCGTGTCCCTGCCTGCAGTTTTTTGCTGTCCGATTTTGGATCAGCCACTGTAGGGGCTGTGTGTGTGTGTGTGTGTGTGTGTGTGTGTGTGCTTGAGCTATCGTTCTCCTCCTCCTCCTTCCTGTTCACTCTCACAGCGCCCCAGCGCTCTCCTGCGACTTTAGGAGTGATACTCTGTGTGTCTCTCTGTGTGTGAGGCATCGTTCTCCTTCTCTTGCTTCCCCTTCACTCTCCCAGCGCCCCTGCTACTTCCAGCACCCCTGCGACTTTAGGATTGATACTCTGTGTGTGTGTGTGTGTGTGTCTGTGTGTGTGTGAGGCATCGTTCTCCTCTTGCTTCCCCTTCACTCTCCCAGCGCCCCTGCGCTCTCCTGCGACTTTAGGATTGATACTGTGTGTGAGAGAGAGGGGGGGGGATCGTTCTCCTTCTCTTGCTTCCCACTCCCAGCGCCCCTGCCTCTCCTGCAACTTTAGGATTGATACTCTGTGTGTCTGTGTGTCTGTGTGTGAGAGGGATTGTTCTCCTCCTCCTGCTTCCTGTTCACTCCCCCAGCGCCCCTGCGACTTTAGGGCGACTTTAGCATGGATCCACATGGATCCTCAGGATTTTTGCATTGGGCTACCCCAAACTCACCGTCAGATCACATGTCTGTGGCCACAGCATGAACCACAAAAATCATACATCCACTGTTTTGTTTAGAATATTTTTTTCTTGTTTTCCTCCTCTAAAAACTACATGCGTGTTATGGTCTGGTGCGTGTTATAGAGCGAAAAATACGGTAACTAACACAATGTTCTCCACCTCTGAATGCACCAACACAGTCCGGAAACTTTTCACTGGAATGCCAAAGAAGCTGTTTGCACTGACTGATGACCCCCTGCCCCTGCATCCACCCTTGATTTGTCATGGGAGGGAGTTTCTTCTGTTCGCTCCGAGTTTGAAGGACCTTCTTGACAGGACTGGGGCTCCCATGTCCTCCGAACACGAACGGGCTCTGGCCCCAAACACATCCCTGTTGGGATCGGAGCTCTCCCAGTCTGCACACTCTGCTTTCAGCTCCCGTAAGGTACTGTGCAGCTGCAACAACTTCTCCAGCAGCTCTTGGTCCTGGAGTTGCATTTCTAACTAGAAGAGGAAACAAGCGAGAAAGGAAGAACTATTTGAGCGACTCTGTAGCATGGTAGCTTCGACAAGTGTTTGGCAGGAGGTCTCCCAGTCACATCTTACCTGCAGCTCTTTGCATGTGTACTTGGGAGTAAGCCCTGTGGAACATTGCTGGGTTTCCTTCTGAATAAACAGGCAAAGGATTGGGCCACACATGGTCAAAGTGAAACTACATTTTCTCAGTCCCCCATCTAAAATTTGAAGATCGTAAGAGTGGTCCACGCTACAGAGTTACTGGGAAGCCCTATGTGGGAATGCTTAATGTTCTCTTAGGTCTCAGGAACAATCTTGGTGCAATGTTAAATGCATCTTTGCATTTAACTGGACTAGTTTCAACAGGTGAGTCTTTAGCATATGCACCGCCGGGGTGCAAAGATCCGACCAGCGCCCCCAAATTTAGTTTAGCCCCAGCGCCATTGAGAATGACAAGCGTTGTCGTTGAGTCTGACAAGCACCGCTGTTGTGAATGACAAGCGCCACCGCACGTCTTTGCTAAATAAGCGCACAAAGTCGAAAGTCCTTTAGTGAAACAGTAGGTATACATTTTGGCAATACCTAGGTATATATGTATTTTGTTTTTCTAGCTTGATCAAAATTATTTATTATTTCATAACAGGTAGATAGTTAAGAGCTTAGGTGGCTTCAGCAGCGGGTGCCCTGCGCCCTGCAGAATTCACCCAGGTGCCCTGCACCCCTTGCACCCCTGGGTAAAGGCAGCCCTGGGTTTCAAAAATGCAAATAGCATCAAAGGGTGAGATAAGTTTTTATCAGCATCACAGCAAGCGTGGGAGGGAGGATTCAACCCTTCCCTGCTGCTGCTCTGAGGAAACTTTTCCCTGTGATGCTCATTTTGCATTGGGAGGAAATTCCCTGTGATCTGTGCTCCCCATCCCAGAGCTAAGGCAATTTGCATTAAAATAATAACAGTCCTGCATCTTAAATGCAAAGATACCTGTTACGTCCCATTGGAACAAGTTTGACTCTCTGGTTAATGAGTTTCTTGACTTGCCAGTGTTAAAATCGTAGCTGATGGCACTGGAGGATTTAGGCATGGGATTGATGGCCATTTTTACAGTAGAGCAGATGACTTCCTTTCCGATATACCTTAGAGGAGTACTGCTGGAGTGTGCTAAGGTAAAGTGGAGAGGCAGTGTGGTGTAGTAGTTAGAGTCCCAGATAAGGACCTGGAAAACCAGGGTTCAAATCACCACTCAGCCAGGAATTTCTCTGGGTGAGCTTGGACCAGCCATTTCCTCAGCCTGACTTACCTCAAAGGGTGGTTGTGAGAATAAAAAATGGGAGAGGAGAACCATGTTTGCATGCCGCCTGAACTCCTTAGAGGAAAGGTGGAATATCAATTAAATCAAATCACTAATAAACTGGAGTTAGGAAAGCACTTGAGGGCTAACTATCTTTTCCAGTACCTTATGATCCTGCCTGCACTCTACATCTTATCTCCTTTCAAGATTAGGAAGGTTCGAATGTTTGCCAGACATTCTTCACCATTGCAAACCCTCCAACGTTTTTCTGATGAAAATAGGGACATGCAATTCCATAATGATAATTTTACTATTTATACCCCACACATCTTACCGGGTTGCCCCAGCCACTCCGGGTAGCTTCCAACATATAGAAAAAACATAACAAAACATTAAACATTAAAAAAAACCCTTCCCTATACAGGGTTGCCTTCAGACAGCTTGGGGGTCGGCTAACTTCATAGCCTCCAACATTTCTCCAATGAAAATAGGGACGTCCTAAGGAAAATAATAATAATAATAATAATAATAATAATAATAATAATAATAATAATAATAATAATAATTTTTTAGTTTATATCCCACCCTCCCCAGCTGAAGCCGGGCTTAGAGTGGCTAACAATAAAAATAACACAGCATTCTAAAATCAATTCATTTTAAAATCAATTCAAAATCAAATTAATGGCAACCATTGGGCTAGAGTTCTGTGAGGATTACCAAAGGAGGGGATCAGACTGTGCCTTGGCCAAAGGCCTGGTGGAACAGCTCTGTCTTGCAGGCCCTATGGAAAGATGTCAAGTCCTGCAGGGCCCTGGTCTCTTGTGACAGAGCGTTCCACCAGATCGGGGCCACGGCCGAAAAGGCCCTGGCTCTGGTTGTAGCCAGCCTAACCTCCCTGTGGCCCAGGATCTCCAAGATGTTTTTATTTGCAGACTGTAAGGTCCTCCTTGGGACATACCAGGAGAGGCGGTCCCGTAGGTATGAGGGTCCTAGGCCATGAAGGGCTTCAAAGGTCAAAACCAGCACCTTGAACCTGATCCTGTACTCCACCGGGAGCCAGTGAAGTTGGTATGAATGTGATCCAGTAGTGAGGACCCCATAAGGAGTCTCGCCGCGGCATTCTGCACCCGCTGGAGTTTCTGGGTCAGTCTCAAGGGCAGCCCCACATGGAGTGGGGACATTCTGGGATCAAATCTGAAACAGGGACGGCTTCTCTATATCAGGGACGTCCCTGGAAAATAGGGACATTTGGAGGGTCTGCCATTGTGTCTGGGCTCTGGAATTCTCTCCGTCCCCTGAGAGGCCAGCTTCACCCCTCCTTCCTAGTTTCTCAGTGAGTTTTTTTTGTTTTGTTTTGGAGGTTCTTGGGAGATTAGTTTGCTACTGCCTGGGTATTATTTGTGAACTGTGGAATTGTTATAAGCAACTTTGATGCTCATTGTGAGCAGAATAGCAAGGCGAAGATAACTGTTAAACGAACAAGATTTCAGAGAAAACCAGAAAAGGTTCCATCCCAAATGGCCTCTTTTGTTCCACACTGCCCCCCCCAAACCCCATGACAATTTTGGCAGCAGCTGAAATGACAAATGTCTCCCTTATTCAAAGAAAGTGTGGACAATATTGCTCTCTCTAAAGGGGCACATACTGGATATAATTTGAGGGCTGTGTTAAGATTGATAATGTGCTTTCAAGGCCCTGGAAATGTGACGTAACCTTAAAGCAGGGTGTCATTGAGCATGCGCAAAGTGACTTTCCCTCCCTGCTGAGTGATGTCAGCATTGGCCAAATCGTCGGAGACATGGCTGCCTGTCATGCCCAAGTCCTGACACTTCCCGGTTCAGAAACAAATCAGCCCTGTGCCAACGAGCTTACAGCAGAAACACACTGATATTCACCTCCTCCCACCATCCGGCTCATCATCCCGTCTCGACCTTTGAGTCACCTTGATCAACGTTAGTCTCTGGGTGTTCGGTCTGCTGCGCAAAGCTATGAATACTAAGGAGGAAGGAGTGAAACTTTACCCTTTCCATCTCGGCTGAGCGAGAGAGAGAGAGAGACACTCAGTCTGTCTGCTGCCTGGGAAACAAGCACTCTGGGTGCATTTGCCCTCATGGGTGTAAATCACATTTTTTTTTGCCAGCTTCCAGAATTTGTGATTTTTCTGGCTATTTCCTCTTCCTCCTTCCCAATTCCTCTCTTTCTCTTTCCATTTGTAAGACGTTCATTTTTGTTTCACGCCTCATTCTTCCAAGTTAAGTGCTAAAACCCCTGGCAAAGGAGCCATGACAGAAAAGATCCATTATCCTATTGCATCCCTCTAAGGGGCTACAGAGGAACGTGAGTGGTGCTGTGGTCTAAACCACAGAGCCTAGGACTTGCCAATCAGAAGGTTGGCGCCACAACGGGATGAGCTCCTGTTGCTCTGTTCCTGCTCCTGCCAACCTAGCAGTTCGAAAGCACGTCAAAGTGCAAGTAGATAAATAGGTACCACTCCGGCGGGAAGGGAAACGGCGTTTCCATGCGCTGCTCTGGTTTGCCAGAAGTGGCTTAGTCATGCTGGCCATATGATCCGGAAGCTGTACACTGGCTCCCTCGGCCAATAAAGCAAGATGAGCGCTGCAACCCCAGAGTCATCCACGATGGGACCTAACAGTCGGGTCCCTTTACCTCTTAAGGGCCTACAGAAAGAAGGTCACTCTCCCCTTCTGCGGTTTCCAGAAAATGGCATTTAGAGGCAGGCATCTTCTGGCAGTAGAGGTAGGTACTAGCCATCATGGCCAGTAGCCATTCACAGCTTGGTCCTCAATGGGTTTTCAAATGCTCTTGTAAAAGCCACCCAAGTTGGTGGCACACTATGGTGTTTTGTTTAAAAATCAAGGGAATAATTGTATGCTGTTTGCCTACAACCCACAGAGCGGCAGCGGCAGCATTTGACAGTGTGCCACTTCTGGGAAGCAGTAAAGCTGGTTGCAGCAGTGACAAGCGCAGTGTCCACCATTTGAAGATTGCCAGGCTTTTGGGGTGCGGGTGGGGACCTCCAACTGCTCATCTTGGAAAATGGAAGAAAGGACCTGCGTTGGCAAGAAAAAGTTCTAGCAGATCTCCCTGGGATGAATAAGCTGGCATGTGAAGAACGCTGTCACTGCTCAGTTAAAATTCAGGACTAGCCAACTGGCCTTCATCCCGCTGCCCTAGAGGACAGGGCCTTCTTCGTGGCTGCTCCCAGGATTAGGAACTCCCTTCCTAGAGAATCTTGAGCAAGAGCACTCTATGATTCCCAGCAGAGTTAGAACATAGCCATTGTGACTGGCTATTTGGAATGAAAGAAGCTTTTATTCCAAAATCAATTCCGTGCCAAAGCAGTCCGAGTCTCTCTCTTTCTCTCTCTTGCCTGCAGTCCCCAATCAGCTTACTGAGAGGCCAGTTGGGTCAATTGCCATCTCAAGGACTAACCTGTCGTGTGGATCAAATGAGATCCTTATGTTGCACAAAGAACCTCGCAGAAAAGGTTGGAAGGCAAATGCAAGGAATCACTTAGGAGGGTACCTGTGGCTCTGCAAACAGCATAGAATAGGAGGGTCAAACTTCTGTGCCAGCTGGAGGAGCTCAAGAGCTGAAACAGAAGGTTTGCTCTGTGGATACCTGGCAGCTCCCTCACCCCACTTTTCAACATTTGATGACTGGCACAAATCTTGCAAGTGAAGCTTTTTGCATTCCAGCAGCTCTGAAAAGCTTCACCTGCTGAACTCCTGCCTGCCGGGCTGCCCTTGTGAGCACCCAAGGAGCCTTACATCTCTCTGCCTGGGGAGGACCTGCACAAAGGGAGGTGGGCTTTGCCTTACCAGTTCTCTCCTCAGCCACGCCAGTGCCTGCTCGATACGCAGCTTTCTTTCTTCTTCCAGCTGCATGCTGGAAACGTGGGGCGTTCAGGCAGCGCCAGGCCCTGCCTGCTGAGGGGGCAGCATGGGGCTTCCGAATGCACAGGCCAGGAACTCCAATCTCTCTCCCTTTCCCACTGCTTGCCGCCTCCTCTTCCAGCCGAACTGAAGGTCCCCCCCCCCCCGCAAGCCTCTACGCAGTTGCAGTGGCACCGTGCAGCCAGCAGAACAGAAGCAACTGGTGATTTGGCTTGGAACATGTGTGCCTGGGTGGGAGTGTGGGTGTTTCTCTCCCGCCCCCCCCCCCCGCTTCCATCTTTCTGCAGCACACTCTGAGCAGAGCTGGTCGGGAGCTCCTCTATGCCATGCCAAGCACCACCTGATATGTGTGTTTGTGTGTGTGTTAGAGAGAAGGACAGACAGACAGGCAGGCAGGCAGGCAGACAGACAGGAGGGGGAGTCATCAAATTAAAAAAAGGTTCTTTTCTTGGATCAGAGGAGGTGGAATCAAGAGTAGCTGATGAGTAGCTGCTCTGCCAGGGGAACCCAAGGCTCTGGCGGCTGCCAGGGGCAAATGGATTATGCCCAATTATGTGGCAGCCTGTAAACCACATGTGTCCCGAGAGAACGTTAGCTGAGAATACAGTGGTACCTCGGATTACATACGCTTCAGGTTACAGCCTCCGCTAACCCAGAATTAGCACCTCGGGTTAAGAACTTTGCTTTAGGATGAGAACAGAAATTGCGCAGCAGCAGCGGGAGGCCCCATTAGCTAAAGTGGTGCTTCAGGTTAAGAACAGTTTCAGGTTAAGGACAGACCTCCAGAATGAATTAAGTTCTTAACCCGAGGTACCACTGTAGGTGGTTTAAGAATGGCTTGTCTGTTGATCAGGCCAATGGCACATCTAACCTTCTTGCTACCTATAGACCTTGCTGGAACTGATCAGAGTGTGCCTGCCCCCTGGAAAGGCAGCATACAGTCCCCATGGTATAACATCTAGGGTCTTCAGTTAAATAGCAGGTGATGGGGAGAAAGGGGTGTGCCAGAGAGGCTCTGCTAATCAGTGGGGACATAGGAATCTGCTATTGATTGATTATACTAAATCAAACCACCGGTCTATCTAGCCCAGTAATGTCTACACTGACTGGCAGCTGCTCTCCAGGGTTTCAGATCCTGAGCATTCCCAGTGCTATCTGGAGATGCCATTGGGCATTGAACTTGGAACATTCTGCCTGCCAAGTGGGGACGTTCAGATGCTCTCCACTGAAGCAATGCCCTTCCCCAACATGGGACAAAATGGAGAATTAAGCCTGCCCTTTCCCAAGGCAGCTGCTGCAACTGTATTTTCGCAGCACCAAGGAGAAAATGGCCCTGCACATCTCTGCAGGCTCCGGTGACCTGTCGCCAGCCTTGGAGATGCGTATCCAAGGAAACCTCAGTCACGATGCGACGCCTTTTCATTTGTTTGTATGTGACACAGTTCCAGCTTTTTCAGGCTCCAGCTTGGCTTTGTCACAAGGAACAGCAAGGACAGAATGTTTCTGAATGAGTGAATCTGGGGAAAGGAGGAACTAGCAGTGGCAAGGGATCCCCTTCCTTGGCACAAGATATCTTGGGCTGGGAGGGGAATCGCTGTCTTCCAGGGGAGGGTGTGAGCAATGGGACAAATCTCTCTGAGGCTTTCGCAAGATGCACAACTTCAAAACTTTTTGAGACACCGAAACCTATCTTTTCACTTTATTTTGAGGCGTTTGGGCAACATTTTTCCCCCATTTCACTTTTAATTTGTATACCGCCTTTCTATAATGCTACACACAAGGAGGCTTACAAGATGAAGAAACCACATAATAACAATCTGATCCAATACAAAAGTTGCAATAATTTTAAAATAAACAACTTACATCAAATAAAGCAATATTCAATAATCCATTAGCGTATAATAGTAAACAGTAAAATTAAACATCAGCAAATAATAATTAAACAGTTTACACTTATCAATTACAATAAAGAATCACTAAGCTATTATCTCTCTTCTCTAATGCCAGTGTACTGGAAGAAGCATAGATCACCAGTGTTGAAGCAATGATTCTTCAACATCAACTTTGTTGGACTGGTCATGTTGTGCGGATGCCTGATTATCGCCTTCCAAAGCAGCTACTCTATTCCGAACTTCAAAATGGAAAGCATAATGCTGGTGGTCAACAGAAGAGATTTAAAGACTGTCTCAAGGCAAATCTAAAAAAATGTAGTATAAACACCAACAATTGGGAAACACTTGCCTGCAAGTGCTCCAGTGGAGAACAGCCTTTACCAAAGGTGTCGTGGGCTTTGAAGACACTCGAACTCAGGACGCAAGGAAGAAACATGCTAAGAGGAAGGCACGCTTGGCAAACCCACACCGTGATCAACTCCCGCCCGGAAACCAATGTCCCCACTGTGGAAAGACATGTGGATCCAGAATTGGCCTCCATAGTCATTTACAGACTCACTGTTAAAATTGTGTTTATGGAAGACAATCCAACCCTGCTTGGGGCCATCTGTCTGGCCGCTGTGAGAAACAGGATGGTGTGTTTCTTGGGCTCATGTTCTGATCGAACAGGTCCCTCCTTGTGTTCACATTATCAGCAATTAGGTAAAGGGACCCCTGACCATTAGGTCCAGTCATGACCGACTCTGGGGTTGCATCTTTCATCTCGCTTTACTGGCCGAGGGAGCCGGTGTACAGCTTCCGGGTCATGTGGCCAGCAGGACTAAGTCACATCTGGCGAACCAGAGCAGCGCACGGAAACGCCGTTTACCTTCCCACCGGAGTGTTACCTATTTATCTACTTGCACTTAAGAAGAAGAAGAGGAATTTGGATTTGATATCCCACTTTATCACTACCCGAAGGAGTCTCAAAGCGGCTAACATTCTCCTTTCCCTTCCTCCCCCACAAGAAACACTCTGTGAGGTGAGTGGGGCTGAGAGACTTCAGAGAAGTGTGACTAGCCCAAGGTCACCCAGCAGCTGCATGTGGAGGAGCGGAGATGCGAACCCAGTTCACCAGATTACGAGTCTACCGCTCTTAACCACTACACCACACTGGCTTTGATGTGCTTTCGAACTGCTAGGTTGGCAGGAACTGGGACTGAGCAACGGGAGCTCACCCCGTCGTGGGGATCGAACCGTCAACCTTCCGATTGGCAAGCCCTAGGTTCAGTGGTTTATTCTTTGCTTATTCAATACATATTTGCCTGTTCCCTAGAATGGTTCAGAGTCCTTGCTCAGGCAGAACGCAAGAACCAAAGGTGTGTCTCTGCATTACGCAGCTTCCTAAGTTTGGGCTGGGGATGAAATAGTTACCAATGCGAACAAGTTGTAATGAAACAGGCACAAAGCTATCTGGGGATAGCTGAGCTGGCGTTCTCGGGCTTCGTTTGTTAATTGCACCAGCAATTACAGGAGGGAGCCCATGAGGTTTGAGTCTTTCGATGTGGCAGAAGCTGTTCCACAAAGCTGTGTCCTGCCCCACTTCCATGTGGGGTAAAATACCCAACGCGTGGGGCACAATGATAGGAGCTTCTCTCACACAGGCCCCATGGAATTGAATGAGAGTGCCAAGCAGCACAGAGAGCATACCTGGCACAAGGGACTGCTGTTTTTAGCAAGGCAGCGAACAGGAGGGAGAGAGGGTAAGGGAGAGACTTCGATCCTCTAATCCAGGCTTCCTCAGCCTCGGCCCTCCAGATGTTTTGGGACTACAATTCCCATCATCCCTGACCACTGGTCCTGCAAGCTAGAAGAAGAAGAAGAAGAGTTTGGATTTGATATCCTGCTTTATCACTACCCGAAGGAGTCTCAAAGCGGCTAACATTCTCCTTTCCCTTCCTCCCCCACAACAAACACTCTGTGAGGTGAGTGGGGCTGAGAGACTTCAGAGAAGTGTGACTAGCCCAAGGTCACCCAGCAGCTGCATGTGGAGGAGCGGAGACGCGAACCCGGTTCACCAGATTACGAGTCTGCCGCTCTTAACCACTACACCACACTGGCTCTCAATCCCTAGCTAGGGATCATGGGACTCGTAGGCCAAAAACATCTGGAGGGCCAAGGTTGAAGAAGCCTGCTCTAACCCCTCTCGCCATCAGGCATGCCTGCCCCATCAGCTGAGAGCGGTGGGGGTCTCATGACCTCTGCACCTGCAACCAGTCTACATCTCCTAGTTCAACGCCAGCTGCAAGGCAGAGACAATTGCTACAATTCCTTTAACTGTTTTTTAATTTGAAACCAGAAGCTTTTTTGATGGGGATGATAGGTGATGAATTCAGAAAAGCAGACCATAGACTATTTATGTACGCTATGACTGCCGCCAGAATCTTAGTAGCTCAAAAATGGAAAACTCAGGAAATACCAACACTCATGGAGTGGCAGACAAAAATGGTTGAATATGTAGAATTAGCAAAACTGACCCACAGGATCCGTAACCAAGAAGAATCAAAGTTCAAAAAGGAATGGAGGAAATTTGTTGAGTATATAGGTAATAACTGTAGAAGTTTAAAGACTGTAGCAGGATTAAAATAAATCTTGTGATGTGTGTAGAATGCAAATCAGAACCTGTGAAAGAGAAAAATTAATACAAAAGCCGGATGAAGGGAGGGAGGGAAGTCTGTGCACGACAGAGCATGTAGTAAATAAGTAGACATGTGATTGCTGAACTTTAAAGTATTTATTTTGTTTGAATATGTTACAGAAAACTCAATAAAAAGCATATAAAAAACCTTTTTAAATTTGTTGTTGTTGGAGGGGAGTTGTGCCTGGGAAGAGAGGAGCTGGAGGAAAAGCCAGCTCCCCCCCCCTTCTGCCAATCACAGTGGTTCTGGGTAAGGGGAGTTATGTTGTGGGAGGTGGGACAGACCAGGTAAGGGGCACAGGCAGTTGGTGACTGTGCCACAGGCCAGCCCCTCCTCCAATCTGGGGAATTGCAGTTGTGCTATCAGACAGCCCTTGGGTCTATGGCTGCAGTTGCTGAATGCCAGGTCAGCTCAGAGTAAGACCTCCACCATCCATGATTTGATTGTGGATGAGGAGACTGCTCTTGTCTGGATCACTGGGGCCTGGGTGGGTGAGCATGGCAGAGATGGTCTCACCCACCTGTGCGCACCTGGGTACTCGGTGCAGCAACAGGGCAGACTTGAGGGTCAGGGAGGGGGGAGTTGCTGTGGTCTATAAATCGAAGAAGAAGAAGAAGAAGAAGAAGAAGAAGAAGAAGAAGAAGAAGAAGAAGAAGAAGAAGAATACAGTGGTACCTCGGGTTAAGAACTTAATTTGTTCTGGAGGTCCATTCTTAACTTGAAACTGTTCTTAACCTGAGGTACCACTTTAGCTAATGGGGCCTCCCACTGCCGCCATGTGATTTCTGCTCTCATCCTAAAGCAAAATTCTTAACCCTAGGTACTATTTTTGGGTTAATGGAGCCTGTAACCTGAATTGCTGTAACCTGAAGCGTCTGTAACCCGAAGTATAATAATAATAATAATAATAATAATAATAATAATAATAATAATAATAATAATAATGTGAATGCCTTAGGACCACAGTACCTCATGGGCCGCCTCTCTGCATCTGAACTGACCCAGACCAGGGGCAAAGGATGGCGTCATGACACCTGGGGCAGGCGTTGCTATGTAGGGCGCATGTGTGGTGTTGCTACGTACAACGCATGCAGCGTATGTAGCGCCGCCGCACATGTGCTGTACTTAGCGGTTTGCCGGCACCACCACTCCAGTGCCATACGGATGGTGCCGGGATCCATTGCCGCTACAGCTGCGAATGGAGGATCCTCCGTTTGCAGCTGCAGCTGCAGCCGTGAGCACAGGATGTGCGGTTATACAGTGTATGTGCTGCATCACTACGTACAGTGTATGTGTGCGATGCCGCACATGTGCTGTACATAGTGGTTTGCCGCCAGCGCTGGGATCCTCTGCTCGCGGATGCAGCTGCAAACAGAGGATCCTCCACATGCGGTTGCTACGGCGGGATGGCTGCTTGCGCTGCCGCGAGCCCCTTTGGGGTGACTTCTTGTCACCCCCGCAGACATGGAACCTGGGGAGCACCGCCCCCCCATTGCAACACCACTGACCCAGACCCTGCAATCATCATCTGAGGAGCACAGGTTTGGAAAGTACATAGGGCATCATAGAATGATAGAGACCCACAAGGATCCTTTAGTCCAACCGGCTGCAATGCAGGAATCTCAGCTAAAGCATCTGTGACAGATGGTCATCCAAACTGACCCCACCAAACTCATAACAATACCTTCACCTACATTCCTCTTAAAGACACAACACGCCACAGTATTTTTCCTATTATTTATCCACGTTGTTATTTATTTCATAACATCCATATACCACTTGATTGTTTTAAAACACCCACCCACACCCTCAAAGCGGTTTACAAAGAAAATAACACAGCGCAATTATAAGTAAACAAAACCCAACTCTTTGAAATAATACAAAATCAGAATAAACTAAAAACAGATCCTGGGTAGGCTTGCCTGAATAAAAACGGTTTTAGCAAGTGCGGGAAAGAACGCGCCTGCCTGAGGTCAATAGGCAGGGAGTTCCAAAGGGTAAGTGATGCCGCACTAAAAGATCGTGCTCTTACAAATGCAAAACGAGCATTGTGTGGCATCTTGTAACAGCGCTAGCGGTGCAGATCGAAGACCGTTAAAGCTTATTTTGGAGTGTGCCTCATATAAACCCACAAATAAACAAATGCAGGCACACACGCACAAACCAGCAGCCAGCCGGCGGTTACGCAGGGATCCCTGTAACCTGCCGGAGATCAAGGTGGGAGTCTGCATGTCCCTCCTGGCAGCAGCCATTGCACCCCCTGCCCAATCCGGGATGCCCAATTCTGCCCGTTCCCTCGCCCGTCTTTTGCCCGCATGCCCCCCGCAGCTCCTGTCTCTCAAGCCCGGGACTGCGTCGAGGGGCCCTACCCATCCTCTGGCCTCCCTGGAGCCAGCTGTCACGAAGCTGCGGTGGTGGTGGGGAAGGGAATGCCCTTCCCACCCTTCCCATTGCTGGCTGGGTGGGGGGAACGAGTGGGGGAGGGTCCCTGGCGGCGGAGAGGATCCCACCTTTGCCTGCAGCAACCGCCGCCGTGGGAGAGGTAAGAAGCGACTCTCCCCCCACCCCTCCCTCTCTCTGGCCCCCAGGAGGCTACAGGCTGGAGACTCCGCAACAGGCAGCTCCTCCCCCCGGCTCTCCCCCACCCCCAGAGGCCTCTAGGGCAGGAGGAAGGGGGCGCGCAGGAACTTATTGCGGAGCTGGAGGTGCCATCGGGCGATTGCGCCGCAGCCTCGGGCCATGGGTTGGCCCCGTTTCCCTTCTCCCTTGCGCTGGTGCCGGGTGGTGGTGGTGCGCGATTTGTAAAGCGATCCTAGCCAGCCAGAGCCCTGGGTGTGGTGTGTGTGGGGGGGGGGGGAAGGATCAGGCTGTAGGGTCCATTTTCCGGTTAGAGAGAAAGAGACCGCGGAGGGTTGCATTGCACGGAGAGAGAGAAAGCTGGGAAGATCAGTTGGTGGGGAGGAAGGGTGGGGGGACGGTGAAGAGGAGGGCGAGAAAGCGGACCGTCGGTTCCCTTTCCTGCACGCCCCCCCCCACCTACTCGCAAGGAGCAAGACCGGCGCGCCGACTGCGGCGCCGTGGTGCTGAACGGACAGCGACCGCCGGCCAGCCACGCCTTGCGCAAGCCGAGTTGCGGCGCCCGAGGCCGTCGCCAGGGGGCGCCGCTGCAGGATTTTGGCATTGTCTCTTTTTCTCCCGCCCCCCCCCCCTTTCACTCCGGTTTAAAACCCCTTCTAAACCGAGCCAGCAGCCCACCTCTCTCCCCCCCCGCCCCCTACGCCCAGCCTCCACTCCACTCCCTCGCTCCAGGCTGGCCGAGCAACGACCATCGCAGGAGGAGGAGCCCACGACAGACAGCGGCAGCATCCATGGTCGCTTGCAGCGCTGACCCCCAGCTAGGAGGACCTGCTGGATGTCCCCAGAGAGGCAGCATGCGCCCCGCGGCAGCCAGGCAGGCAGGCCGGGCAGGTAGGACAGGGCAGCGGGAAGTGGGGGGCGTGCGTGGGGAATAGGCAGCCGTGCGCGCCCACCCGCTTATTCCTTGGGGCTTCCATTGCTGGGGAGGCGGAGAGGATTGCTGCATGCGTGTCTGAGGCAGCGGCAGGGCGTGGGGAAAGATTATTCCTAAATGATAAGAGGTTGTAATCTGGGTGGAAGGGATTGGGGACGCGCGGGAGAGGAGGAGGAAGCAGCAGCAGCAGCAGCTATGAAGTCATCCTTCAATGCTGGCACCAGGGACCAGGATGCGTGAGCCCAAATATTAGACAAATTCACGAAGGACAGCATCACTATTAGCCACGGTGGCGCCACGGCTGGAGGCAGCAGCACTTCTGATCGTTGGTTGCTGGAAACCGCAGGGAGAGTTGCTCCTGTGTTCGAATCCCATTTGCGGGTTTTCCACAGGCCACTGTGGGAACAGGATGTTAGACTAGATGGGCCACTCAGGTGTTATTCCCTACGGTAACTGCGCAGGGTGGGGAAGAGGAAGGCGCGTTGTCCTAGAGCAGTCTTCCCCAACATTTGGAAAGTACCTCGATGGAAGAAGGCTGCCCTAGAGTGATTCGTTCAGTACGTTTCCCAGCACAATTCAAAGTGTTGGTGCTGACCTTTAAAGCCCTAAACTGCCTCAGTCCAGTATACCTGAAGGAGCGTCTCCACCCCCATCATCCAGCCCGGACACTGAGGTCCAGTGCCAAGGGCCTTCTGGCGGTTCCCTCACTGCGAGATGCCAAGTTACAGGGAACCAGGTAGAGGGCCTTCTCGGTGGTGGCGCCCGCCCTGTGGAACTCCCTCCCACCAGATGTCAAAGAGAACAACAACTACCAGACTTTTAGAAGGCATCTGAAGGCAGCCCTGTTTAGGAAAGCTTTTAATGTTTGATGCATTACGGTATTTTAATATTTTGTTGGAAGCCGCCCAGAGTGGCTGGGGAAGCCCAGCCAGATGGGTGGGGTATAAATAATAAATTATTATTATTATTATTATTATTATTATTATTATTATGCCTGAGTGAAGGGTGTGTTCTGAGCAGCCATGGATCTATCCTACTATCCTCTCGCAGCTTGGGTGGGTGTGAGAAGGAAGCTGCTTTGCGCTGGCGCTGATTGCTATTTTACAACTCCTCTCTTGCTTCTCGTTTTTGGAGTGCTCCAATGAGGGGCCCACATCCTGGTGCTGATCAGGATCACACCTGCTGCTCTGCAACCTCACCAGGGGAATCCCAGGCTATTCCCTGCACGGTTAAAAAGACACAGAAAATGTGCATGTGTGAGAGGGAGAGAGTAGGGAAATAAATGGCATGGCGCATAGCAGTGGGGGGGGGTCATGCTGGGCAGCAGCCATGGCAACCAACAAAGGTGGTCCCACTGGGTTTAGGTCTGACACCCCAAGAGTGCCCCCACACCCTGCCAGCAGAAAAAATCATTCTGCTATAGCCAACGGAACAAGTTGTGGTGTGTGTTTGGCCATGGTGTGTGTTTGTGTGGTGACCACAACAATACCCCCAATTTGCAAATGTGTCCAAAGTCGGCAGGGACGTGGGTGGCGCTGTGGGTTAAACCACAGAGCCTAGGACTTGCCGATCAGAAGGTTGGCGGTTCGAATCCCCATGACGGGGTGAGCTCCCGTTGCTCAGTCCCGGCTCCTGCCAACCTAGCAGTTCGAAAGCACGTCAAAGTGGGAAGGTAAACAGCGTTTCTGTGCGCTGTTCTGGTTCGCCAGAAGCGGCTTAGTCCTGCTGGCCACATGACCTGGAAGCTGTACGCTGGTTCCCTCGGCCAATAAAGCGAGATGAGCGCCGCAACCCCAGAGTCGGTCAGGGGTCCCTTTACCTTTACCTTTTACCAAAGTCAGCAACCCCTGCCAGTGGCTATTGGTTTGCTCGCTGCTGCTGCTGCTGCTGATTACATTTATATCCCGTTCGTATCCAGGGAGCTCGAGGTGGCATGCATGCTTCTTTCTCACCTCGATTTTACCCTCACAACAACCCTGTGAGGTAAGTTAGGCTAAGAGACTGGGACTGGCTGAGTAAGCATTTGAACCCTGGTCTCCCAGATCCTAGTCTGGCACTCTTACCATGAAGGTGCTTTGAAGGTCCAAATTTCTGTGGATTAAAAGAAATTTAAAAATCCCAAGTGTGTGTGTGTGTGTGTGTGTGTGTGTAAGATTGGCAGACTCCTGCACACCTCCTTTTCTGCTGATCTTTACATTGCTTCTTCCGCTTGCAAGAGGTGTCTACTCAGCCACACTTTCCCTGCAAGGAGGTGCCTCAGGCAGAGCTTTTGCCCTGCCAGCAGCTTCAGCAAAATCAGGATATCAGCTGCTTGGTCACACAGGGTGCAGGCAAGATCACCAGGCTCAAGAGACACACTTAATTAACAAAAACTGCATACCACTTGATTGTAATCAGATTCCCCCTCCCCTCTTCTTTTTCCCTTTCTCCTCCTGTGATGGAACTCCTACCTGGGGACTTCTCTGGCTTTTTTTCTGGCCCACGTAGGACCAGTCTGGAAAGTTAGCCTTGGTGAAGACTTGACGCTTTCATCCCCCCAAAAGTTTTTGATTTGAGTTCCTACTGAAATGAGGCTGCATTTTAATGTTGTATTTCAATCTTGTTTTTAAGTTGCATTTCAATCGATTTGCTTTTATATCGGATGTTAGCCGCCCTGAGCCCGGTCTTGGCTGGGGAGGACGGGGTATAAATTATTATTATTATTATTATTATTATTATTATTATTATTATTATTATTACCTCCTCTGCAAGGAATTCCAGGGATGATCCCGTTTCCCTGGGGATAACTTAAGATAGCAGGGCTCAGCTAAACTATGGAACTCTCTGCCACAGGAAGCAGCAGTGATGATCACTGACTTGGATGGCTTTAAAGGAGGACAAGGATGTAGCCTTCAATGGCTACTAGACATAATGGCTGTGGTCTATCTCCACGGCTAGAGGCTGCAATGCTGCTGAGTTCCAGTCGCTGGAAACTGCAGGAGTGCTGCTGTGCACGGATCCTGTTTATCAGTTTCCCTTTGGGACACCTGCTTGGCCACTGTGAGAACAGAATGCTGGACTAGATGGGCCATTGGCCGGATCCAGCAGCCAGCTCTTCTTGTCTTCTTTATGTAGTGCATAGAACATTGGACTTTGACCAAGGAGATCCATGTTCCAATCCCTGTCTGGTCAATGGGGCCTGGTGGGCGACCTTGCCCCAGTTGCTCTCTATTGGCCCTCTACCTGCCTAAGAATAGAAAGCGCAGAATATGCATGCTGCACTGAAGGTGAAAGTGGTGAATGTGTGTGCTGCCTTCAACAAAATGTTGCAGTATGGAGTGCCCTATTCAGTGCTTTTTTCTAAATAAAAAAAAGGTTAGGGGTACTCTCATTTTGACTCAAGAAAACCACCATTTTATAGTTCAAATAGTTTATTTTGTATAGTTCAAAAATATAAACTAAGTTAGTTCTTGGTATGAGCTTTCGTGTGCATGCACACTTCTTCAGATACGTATCTGAAGAAGTGTGCATGCACACGAAAGCTCATACCAAGAACTAACTTAGTTGGTCTTTAAGGTGCTACTGGAAGGAATTTTTTTTGTTTTGACTATGGCAGACCAACACGGCTACCTATCTGTAACTGTTCAAAAATATAGTTTATCAAAAATATAGTTTATTTTTTATAGTTTGGATTTGGAAGAAGAAGAGTTTGGATTTGATATCCCGCCTTTCACTCCCTTTAAGGAGTCTCAAAGCGGCTAACATTCTCCTTTTCCCTTCCTCCCCCACAACAAACACTCTGTGAGGCGAGTGGGGCTGAGAGACTTCAGAGACGTGTGACTGGCCCAAGGTCACCCAGCAAATGCATGTGGAGGAGCAGGGAATCGAACACGGTTCATCAGATTATGTGACTACCGCTCTTAACCACTACACCACACTGGCTCTCGAACGCTAGTTCAAAAATAAATACAGTAAATGGACGAAAGTACAAAGATTCACAAAATGTTTAGGAGTATGCGTACCCCTGCATCCTCCCAGAAAATGCACTGGCCCTATTCGGTTTTGCATAGGAACACAGAAAGCTGCATAGGAACCATGGGGGATTCTGATGCTTCCCCAACACCACCAATTTTGGTGCAAGGTCCCTTCCAGCCCCTTTCATGCTGCCTTCCATGTGTTTAATCAGCACCTAGAAGAGGGCATGAGAACATAGAAGATGCCTTATACAAGGTTGGACCATTGATGCATCTAGCTCAGTATGGTCTACACTGACCGGCAGAGGCTGTCCAGGGTTTCAGGCAGGAGACCTTCCCACCAAGTCCTACCTGAAGATGCCTTCAGGGATTGAACCTAGGAGAGCTCTCCCCCATTCATTGGTAGAGGACTGGAAGAGAACCCTGGAGGAATTGGCTTCATGTCAGGAAGGTCCCCTGAGGTCCCTGAGAGATGTGGTGGGTCAGGATGATTTGATGATGATGATAATAATAATAATAATAATAATAATAATAATAATAATAATAATTTATTATTTGTACCCTGCCCATCTGGCCGGGCCTCCCCAGACACTCTGGGCGGCCTCCAACAAAGATGAAAAATACACTAAAATGTCACACATTAAAAACTTCCCTGAACAGGGCTGCCTTCAGATGTCTTCTAAATGTCAGGTAGTTGTTTATCTCTTTGACATCTGCTGGGAGGGCGTTCCACAGGGCGGGTGCCACTACCGAGAAGGCCCTCTGCCTGGTTCCCTGTAGCTTTGCTTCTCGCAATGAGGGAACCACCAGAAGGCCCTCGGCGCTGGACCTCAGTGTCCAGGCTGGATGATGGGGGTGGAGATGCTCCTTCAGGTATACGGGACTGAGGCTGTTTAGGGCTTTAAAGGTCTACACCAACACTTTGAATTGTGCTTGGAAATGTCCTGGTAGCCAGTTTAGGTATTTCAGGACCAGTGTTATGTGGTCTTAGATGCCACTCCCAGTCACCAGTCTAGCTGCCGCATTCTGGATTAGTTGTAGTTTCCAGGTCACCTTCAAAGGTATCCCCACGTAGAGCGCATTACAGTAGTCCAAGCGAGAGATAACCAGAGCATTCGGTGAATGAAGGCCAGGGTGCAAATGGTTCTTATTGATTCCTCCTCTCTGTTCTTCTGCCCCAGCAGCTGAAGTGCTGAGAGGGATGAGCAAGGCGACTGCATCCCAATGGCGTCCTCACAGCCCCTGGAACTGACAGTCTTGGGGAATGTACCTGGGCCCAGCCGGGGAGTCCCAGAAGGGGGACCTTCAGCACCATGGACAGCTCCTGGCTTGGGCATTGAGAACGCCTCTTACCAGGGGGAGGAAGAAGAGGAAGAGGAAGAGGCAGAAACTTCCTTCCGGAACCGTCAAGGCACAGGAAGCAGCCTCAGGGAGCACACAGCACCCCCTAGGGGAGACCTCTCCCCACGGTCCGAGGACGGCCCCTTGCCGGACGCAGCAGGCAACTCAGTGGACTATGGCTTCATCTTGGCTTTAGTCTTCTTGGTCAGTGGGATTTTGCTGGTGATTGTCGCCTACAGCATCCCGCGGGAGGCGCGAGTCGACCCGGATTCTGTGTCCGCCCGGGAGATGGAGAGGCTGGAGATGTATTACGCCCACCTGGGCTCCCACCTGGACAAGTGCATCATCGCAGGGTTGGGGCTCTTGACTTTGGGTGGGATGCTGCTCTCCATCCTGCTGATGGTCTCCATCTACAAAGGGGAGCTGTACCGCAGGAGGTCGTTCCCGGCTTCCAGGGCTCCCCGGAAGACTTACGGGTCTATAAACCTGAGGATGAGGCAGCTGAATGGAGAAGGGGGGCAGACGTTGGTCGAGAATGAGGTCATTCAGATGACTGAAGTCACAAACACCAGCCAGAGCTGCTGACGTTTCTTCGTAGGTGATGTAAGTTGAACTAGATGAAGGGTCCTCTTCCGACGCTACAAATCTGTGATACTATTCTACAAGTTTAAAGCACTGAGCTCAGAGGAGGATTTGCTGGGGGGTTGGGGGAGGGGAAAGGTTCAACATTCATATTTAAGTATAGCTTTGCACCTCAGTGGGGGAACAGTAGAGGAAATGTCGCCTCTTGTTTAAATGCCTCTTTCACTTACACACGAAAGGATGAGGACGGACTTTAGGAAGCCAAATGTTGCTTTACATTTTGGCAACTTAAGAAAAGATTTCCAAGAAAACTCGTGGTCTCCCTCTGAAATTGTTCTGTGCTACGTACTGCACCACTGCTGTGGTTAAAAAAACCCCACAACTTTTTTTTATTGAAAAAACTGTTGCACAACCAAATCGCCTATGCTGAAGACACAGAGCCAAAGCCACATTTCAGAGGCCTCTTTGGAATTCTTTGTATACTACCAAGCACAGTTTAAGGCCTGTACTTTTGAGCTGGGTTCCTTTGTTCCACTCCTCCCTGAAGCAAACCCTCTTAGCAATAGTTCCGTCTGGAAGACGTGTGCAACCGTCGCCGCCCCCAGCAAAAGTTCAGAACACGCCCAACCGCTCCATGGTTTGTATGAGTTTTCTGGAGCTCCCAAGACCTTGCTGCAACTTTCGCACTTGTGACATGCTCGGTCTGTCGAAGCAACACCTTCACGCGCAGCCACACAGCCTGACTCAGAAACACACCGCCTTGCCACACCAGCAAAACCTATTTCCCTGGCCTCGCTGGGAAAAGAACACCATGTCCAAACTGTTTCTGAGTTGTTCATGGAAAGCGGGAAGGGAGCAGCGCTTTCAAAGAACCTTCCGCGGTTCTGCTTCCTCGTCAATGGGTTGGCCCGCCAAGTCGCCTGCCTCGGATGCAGGGAGGCACTCGCTGCAGTCGGGAGATACAATTACGTCTCGAATGCAAAGCATGAAACATTAATGAAGGCCAGCATGTGGGCAATGCAAATGAAAATGTGTCAGCAGGAAGTTTAAAAATGGATATTGCTCAGAAAGGTGACCTCTAAAAGGTACAGCTGCCAGTAAATCCCCCCTCCTAATATTTTTTTAAAGTGCCACTCTCAGCTAAATATAAAATGTGCAGCCACAGCCCAGGAAATGTGTATCACTCAGTACTGAGATCATGAGAAACTGAGGGAAGCGTTGTTCTGAATGCTGTGCCATCACTTGCCCTTCAAATCTGGTCCATTTGTTGCCCCCAGAAATTCCTATAATTGCTTATAACTGGAAGCAGGAGGGAAAAAAGTACCGTATTTTTCACTCTATAAGACGCACCAGACCACAAGACACACCTATTTTTTGGAGGAGGAAAACAAGGAAAAAAATATTCTGAATCTCAGAAGCCAGAACAGCAAGAGGGATCGCTGCACAGTGAAAGCAGCGATCCCTCTTGCTGTTCCGGCTTCTGAGATAGCTGTGCATGCTTGCAAAAATGTGCAGCAGTCTAGTTTGATTCTCAGGACCTTCTGAATAGAGCATGGGCTACAGCCCATCCCCAATGAAGGCTACTACAATTCCCATCATCCCTGACCACTGGTCCTGTTAGCTAGGGATGATGGGAATTGTAGTCCCAAACATCTGGAGGGCTGGAGTTTGCCTAGGCCTGCTCTAATAATAGCCAGGGCTGGTGGCAATTGTAGTCTAAACTGTCTGGAAGGCACCTTGTTGGAGAGGGCTGCTGCACTTCAGAGTCAGCACACGCCTAGCATTGCACACTAAGAGCTTTAGGGATCATGCTTGTATGTGAATCGATTCAATTTATGCCACTGGACAGTTTTGATGGCTGGGCACTAAACCAGCTAAGCCTGCCTTCTCCAGCCGGCTGCCATTCAGATAATGTGCCTCCAATATCACCCGTATCCTGCAATGTTCACCAAAAAGGTTTGCTCTTGCACACTGACCTGGTGGACCTGTGTTTTGGTAGAAAGGGCTGCAGCTCAGAGGTAGAGCAGCTGCTTGGCATGTAGAAGGAAGGGTTCAATCGCCGACATCTGCAGGTAGGGCTGGGAGAAACAACCTGACTTCACACCCTGGAGAGTCACTGTCGGTCAGTGTAGACAATACTGGGCTAGATAGACCAGTGCTCTGACTCAGTATAATGCAGTTTCCTATGTCTTTAAATTAACCTTGGAGAACAACATTGGATCCTAGAATTGTCGAGTTGGAAGGGACCCTGAGGATCATCTAGTCCAGCCCCCTGCAATGCAGGAATATGCAGTTGTCCCAAAAGGGAATCGAACTAAGTAATGGGGCCTTATTTAAATGTACTGATACTGCCAGCAGAGTCGTATGAGCCGCTCTTTGATAGAAATCGCAGCACCTGCCTTGTTCCTTTTGGAATAATAATCCAAGCTGGATTAAAAGGCACCCCTCCCCCCGCTACGTCCCTGGCACGCCTGCCAGGCCGCCATCCATCAGGTCACCGCCGAAGAGCAAACTCGCTGAGCGAACATCAATTGCTTTCGCTCTCAATAAGATTAAATGCCCTTTAAGAGCAATCAGCCCGTTAAAGAGATTAAATCTGCAGAAGGCCCCGGTTTATTGGCGAAGGAGACAGGCTCAGATTTGCATTATAAAGTAAAGGCTGTTTCTCATGAGGCTTTAATGGAATTACGTGGGCACTGTCTTGCTCCTGTGCTGTTCCTTAAGGAGACCCTGGAAAATTCTCCTAAGGGCTGGACACTGGGACAAAAGAAGCTGCTTTATGCTGAATCAGACCGCTGATCTGTCGAGCTCAGGAAACACCAGTGGTTCCTCAACTGGAAAGGGGGTGGGGAATCACTGCTCCTTGACTCCATAAACTCATTTTCAGTGCCTCCTACCCTATAAAAGGCAATTATTCAGAATGGCAGTTTGCACAACCCACTAAAAAGGATAGAAATGGTCACGGCTGGAGTCAGATGCAGGTCAGCACAAAGGAACAGTCAGGTGTCCGTCAAGTTACCGTATTTTTTGCTCCATAAGACACACTTTTTTCTTCCTAAAAAGTAAGGGGAAATGTCTGTGTGTCTTATGGAGCGAATGCGTGGTCCCTGGAGCTGAACTGCCCAGGGGCAAAAAGCAGATAATGCTTTTTTCTTTTTTTTTTGAAAGAGGGAAGAGGGTGTTGAAACAAAGCCGTTAATTGGCAAGCGATCGGGGAGGGAGATAAGGGACGCTAGAGATAAAGGAGGATGCCTGGGAGGGGGGAGATGTAACATCCCAGAAGATGTAGTGATGACCACCAAGTTGGTTGAGTTTAAATAAGGATTAGACAAATTCATGGAGGATAAAGCTTTCAATCGCTATTAGCCACAATGGCTAAGTTTTTTATCCCCACTTTTGGAGTATGTCACTGAATATCAGTTGCTGGTACAGTGGTACCTTGGGTTAAGTACTTAATTCATTCCGGAGGTCCGTTCTTAACCTGAAACTGTTCTTAACCTGAAGTACCACCTTAGCTAATGGGGCCTCCTGCTGCCGCCGCGCTGCTGGAGCACGATTTCTGTTCTCATGCTGAAGCAAAGTTCTTAACCTGAAGCACTATTTCTGGGTTAGCGGAGTCTGTAACCTGAAGCGTATGTAACCCGAGGTACCACTGTAATCACAAATGGGAAGAACACTGTCATTCTTGGTTTCTCTTTGTGGGTTTCCCATAGACATCTGGTTGGCCACAGTGAGAAAAGAGAGGTGGGCTAGATGGGATTATAGCATAATCCAGTATAGCTTGCCTTATGTTCCTAAATAAAAAAACCTTTACCCTTCTATTTAACTTGGATTTCCAGAACGAAGCTTCACAGGGTAAAATAGAAGAGCGAACTTGCAAGGAGAGGAGACAGGAAGACTAAAGCAATGAGGAGAGAAATTAGAAGAAAAGGAGGAGCAAAAAACTGCTCCAGCTAAGGAAAAGACACTAAGGCAAACAAGAGGGAAGGGAGTGTTGAAAGGAAACAGCTGATCTGCAAGTGATTGGGGAGAGAGAAAAAGGGACGCCACAATGGCACAAAAATGTGGTTACAAAGCACGGATCCACATGGATCCTCAGGATTTTTGCATTGGGCTACCCCAAACTCACCGTCAAATCACATGTCTGTGGCCACAGCATGAACCACAAAAATCATACATCCACCGTTTCATTCAGAATATTTTTTTCTTGTTTTCCTCCTCTACAAACTAGGTGCGTCTTATGGAGTGCAATGGCAGGCAACTCTGCAACATTTTACAGCAGGTCTTACCCCTATGGAGCAGTGGCCAGGACTTAAGGTCCCTGCTCCCAGCCCTTCTAAGGCTCCCCCTCTCGCAGATGTTTCCCCAGCAGTCTCAAACTGTGTCTGTCCACCTCTGTTCTGCTCTCCTCAATACTCTGCCCGTTCTTGGAGGCCAGAGGGGAGGGGAGCTGGTTGCAGCAGGTGAGGGAGACTCCCTGCGTTCTTCAGCAGCCTCTTGATCTCCGCCTCCCTCTGCTTCAGCCTCAGAGTCTGAACTGCTCTCTGTCACCGGCTCTCCCTGCTCACTAAACCCTGTTGCTCCTTCAGCATCTGGCACACCATCCCAATCTTCCCCCTCTGACCTCTCCTCAGCGTCCCACCACCAATCCCTGGGCTCTGAGCCTTCCTCCTTCTGGGGGTTTCCCTTGGAGGTGGGGTTCCCTGGCAAGGCGCCCCCCCACCTCTTGTCCCCAAGCCAGTCCCCAACATCAAATTCAAGCAACGATTAATTGCATATTTATTCAAAATCCAGCTAAAGCTGATTTAATTGATTCAGCAAAACTTGATTCCGTGATGCCAACTTTTCAGAGCCTGGCAGGCATTTATAACTCCAGCAACCTAGCCTGCTGCACCCATCCCTCTTAGCGCCCTCACCGTGGCAATCCCACTGACCCCCACTGGTCTACACTGATTATCAGCAGCTCTCAAACATTTCCGGCAGAGAGTCTACCCTAATCCTAGCTGGAGATGCTGGCAATTGAATTTGGGACCTTCTTCATGAAGGCAGATGCTCTCCCACTGATCTACAGCCCTTCCCCAGCATAGGGATCCTCTCCGTAGCCAAAGCGGAAAGATTCGGCTTCAATGCAAAATGAGCAAGCTGCAAGCTGCATTAATAATAATAGTAATAATAATAATATTTTTTTATTTATACCCCGCCCTTCCCAGTTCAGAAAACCAGGCTCAGGGCAGCTAACAACAAATTTAAAACACTTATTGATGCAACAAAAAACAGCATAAAATACAGTATAAAACGTGAATAACGATAAATTCAGAATTCAGAAATCAATTTAGGGGAGAAATCCATCCAAAAAACATTCGATGATCACCAGGGCTGGCTGGCTAAATTAGTCCTATTTGGGCCAGCGAGGAGACCAGGGGAGAATTAGCTGTGGGATCCCAGAGCAGGTGATCTTCATAAAATGGGGAGGGGGAGGGAAGGAAGGGGAATAAAAGATCAGGCTAAGTTCAAATTGAAAGCCAGGCAGAATAGCTCTGTCTTACAGGCCCTGCGGAAGGAAGTTAAATCCTGCAGGGCCCTGGTCTCCTGGGTCAGAGCATTCCACCAGGTTGGAGCCATCACCGAGAAGGTCCTGGCCCTGGTGGAGGATAATCTGACTTCCTTACTGCCCGGGACCTCTAAACTATGATTATTCATGGACCTTAAGGTCCTCTGTGGTGCGTACCAGGAGAGGCGGTCCCGTAAACACGAGTGCCATAAGCCACAAAGGGCTTTTTACCGGAGCCAGTGCAACCGGTAAAACACTGGGTGAATATGCTCCCATGGCAGGGACCCTGTGAGGAGCCTCGCTGCAGCATTCTGCACCCGCTGGAGTTTCTGGGACAGATCTGAAGGCAGCCTGCACTGGAGAGCTTTCCAGAGGGTCTCTGTGCACATGGCTGCATGGCAGGAGTTTTAAAGTCTGCTCATCACACAAGCATGTCCATCACTGGATTGCCCTTGATTGGCTGCACCTGGGGTAGTCAATGTAGTGCCCTGTAGATGCAGCCAGATTATGTAACTCCCCCGTCCCAGACTCTGGCTGATGCTGATGGGAGTTCCCTTAGGTCAAGAGAGCAGACCGCAGGAGAGGGTGGCAAGTTAGGAAGGGGGGGGGGAACCGGATGCAGTACACCTTTAAAGGGGGACTTGCCCAAATCTCCCTTTCCAAAGCAAGATGCGAACCCAAACTCAGACATCCGGCAAAACTCGCACTGCTCCGAACTTTGCACTTCTCCAGCCAAGTACTGTATTTTTTGCTCTATAAGACTCACTTTTCCCCTCCTAAAAAGTAAGGGGAAATGTGTGTGCATCTTATGGAGCGAATGCAGACC